CCATAAATTATAAATTAGTTACTTTAAATCTACCTTCAGCACCAATAATCTAAAAAATGATATTTCAAAATAAAAGCCTCAGTTAATTCTACCATATGAGAAAAATTCTAGCAAAAAATTTTGCCTGTTTTAAAACTGCCTTTCGATCGTTTGGAATCTACATTTTCCTCTGAACAGCAATGTAGTATAAACATTCAGTCATATGAGAATAATTTATTTCCTTACGATATAACTGTCAGCGGAAGTTTAAACAACTTTAAAGCAATTGCGGGGGGGGGTTATTTGCAGTGGCATAGGTGATGCACATGTTCTCTGCACGCCTACGTTTCGACCATGGCACTGTAAAACCTTCAAATAGGGACAACCGACTAAAGTAATCGAAATTCGGTCTGTCGTCTCCTCACCGAGACATACTCAAACACCCAGCGCGCTGCCGACAGCGGTTCGGCGCCACACTCTGTTTGCGTAGACATCCGGCTCTCAATGATCTTTGTCTAGTACAGGCGCGTACACAAAAATGTTGTCATGAAAGACGAAGGCTGCCTTTGCCATTTCCTAGCTTCCATCATTCACCATCTACTTGTGCCTAAAAATATTAATAGCCTTCTGCGCGATGTGTGCTTTTCTGCGGTACCATACAACGGTTTTCGTCAGGCGTCAGGCATCGTCGTTTGCGCGCATCAAACGCGGAGAGATGGAGCCTTTGGCGCAGTTTCAGCTTTATAAGTGGGGAACGATTGCACAGTGTTTCAGTCTTGTTCTTCTGACGCCGATAACAGGTCTCGTGTTCCTCATCAGCATAGGTGACTTATCAGCGACTATGTGTTCAGCAATGAATACTAATGAACTTCACATGCTTTTCTTGATTAGTATGGTTTCTGGACAGGTAAAACAATTACTATTTATTTTTATTTATGTCATACTAGATTAATTATATGATGATTATGCAACTCTGCTGATATCACAGCCTTGTACCCAGCGGCTGGGCTTGCGGACCTCAATGACCATCGCAGAGCGCAGCTATGGCAGCGGAAGCTTCAGCTTCTGGTATGGCTATCGATGCCGAACAGGTGTTTGAGGTGACAGGCCAGACTAAGTGTGATTAACTATCTTCTACCCATTATGGTGCATAACAGTGTAAATGTTGCTATATCGGATCGGCTTACGTCCGGGTTGTCAAGGACCGCGCAAGTTGTTGAGCAACTGAAGCAGTCCGTGATAAGTAAGCGAAGAGAGCACGAGTCATGGCTTATCAGCAGGGCAAGAGTTATCGGGAAAGAATTCTCGACAAATGGAGGAAGGTCTATCCTTGAGTTACGCAAGCGTCCAACAACCAGCGGACCACAGCGTTTCACTGAGAACAACACGCTGCTAAAAGTACTGGAGCTAGATGAGATCAAAAATGCGCTTGACAGCAACACCACTACACAAGAAGATAAACTAACTGAATATATTAGTGGATTCGCCTTGTCAGACATATGAGATCAGAGATCAAAATGGTAGATGTGACAAAAGTCATCCAATTAGCTGATATAGAAAAATCGCTTTGGTAGGAGATTCTCCGGGAGTTTAAAAAACCTACGAGATGTAGCCCTCCTATTAGAGGCTATACGAAGCCGCGTGAATACATCAGCAAACCTGACGCTGTACCGAAGACGATACCAACCAGTGATCTGAACCACCAATGGTGTGATATATGCAACAGTTCTTGTGGTAAATAAAAGAAACTTTGCGTTAAGCTGGAAGCATGTCTGAGAACAAAAGAAGAGCCAGCATGAATCAAAAAACAAACAGGAAAATGCACGCAGATAAATACAACAACTGAAGAGGTGCAATATAAAGATTTCAACGAAGAATATAATGAAAAATGGACCGACCAGACAAAACAATGGGTAAAACTTCATGCGAGGCTTAGCTGTACCGGCAAAGAAAGTTTTTTCGGACATATCGGAAGAGGTCGAGAGGTACCTACAGAAAAGGACCATAATTAAAAATGTTAAACTCATTTACGGAAAAGTGGAGAAAAAGAACAAATCCACAAGTGATCAAGAGAATTTTGGTCATAAATCGGAAGAATCACTACAGTTCTGGAGAAGAATATGGCACAATGATAAAGCCTACAACAAAGAAGGCAACTGGCTAAAGGAAATTCAAATGAGTGCAAATGGAATCTCAAAAAAGAGGTCACGATCACTGAAAATAATGTACACGTGGCACTCAAAAAGATGAAAACCTGGGCAACTCCAGGTCAGGATCAGGTGTATGAGTGGTATCATAAACAGCTAACATATCTGCCCTCACAATTATCAGTATTCTTGCACAGTGCTTGAAGAAAAACCACCTTTTTAGATGACACACTTAATCTTGAAGGACGAAATCATTGGCATAGCATACACGAGTGTCGGTAACGAATGTGTTAAAGGGGGGGAGAAAGAATCCTGACGTATCAAGAATTGAAAATGAAAATACAAAAAATATGCAGATTAAAAACGAGTCATCCCTGCTGCGACCATTGGAGCAGAAAAAGCGACTGTCAGTTTCTAATAAAGTCAACTTATGAATCAATCAAAGTTAATGAACTGTAAAAGGCGACTCTGCTAAGAGCAGTCAGGATTTTCAGAAGAGTACTGCGGTTTCCAAACCCTTTGTGGATGGATGGTTTGAGCTGAAGTGATGCTCACATCACTCACGTTACATTTCATAGATTATCTCTGAAATAAAAATCTGTCATGAACCGAAATTAATGTCACCATCGTAGCACGCTTATACGTATGCAGCTGTTATTTTTGGCATTGAAATTTTCTACCTTAAGCAAATGCCTCCAAGAAACAGCAGATTTGTCTACAACGGGTCTTTTCAAATTAAAATCTGGCTGCCACAGTCACGGCGTCCATGGTTTAAACCAATAATGAAATTCTTGGAGCAGCTGATCTATCGATCTTGTTAATAACGTTATCTAACCATAAAATTCGTTGTTTCTGAAGCAATGATGACAGTTCCCAGCGTGTGGTTCTGTTGCTTCGTTACTCGTTGAAATCTGAGGATGTACCGCAGACGAAGTTGTTGGAAAGTGTTTAATAAACGCTGATATTTTCTACATGGACGCCATTTCTAAGCAGCCCAATAAGATCCAGATGACAGTTGACGACGTATAGATCTTTGTCTCAGTTATCCAGCAAGCATTTAGCTTCTGACCCCAACGCGTTTCATGACTCACCGTTCAGTAGAAGGTCTGAATATGCCGTAATTCGGTTACCATGCAGCTACTGTCACTGGGATCTGTTCAAACAATCGTGTGAGGTCATTTGCCAGTTTCACCCAGGTAACCTTAAAGTAAAATAAAATGTTTCCAATTTGATTCCCGTTGGCTTCTCAGATGTTTGAAGATTTGGCATCATAGAATGAGAAGTCAAGGTGACATTCATACCCGATTAATTAGGGTTTTTGACCTTTGACCCTGATACTTCAAATGAAGAAAACATTTTTCTGCTCTTTCAGAACCAGGTATTCACATGGTAAAAAAACGCTTGCAGCAAAGTGTTCCAACGATAAAGGAGTGATCGTTTACGTTATTGGCCTCTATTAACGAGATGTCTAGTACTAAGACTCGATTATTTTGGAGTTGTCGTTTTAAAAACTATAACCAACCGTGTCGTTTTTGAGAGCTATATGTCGTTTAAACAATGGTGTTCTCCCAGCGAATGCTTACTTCTCATCTAGTGTTCATCATGATAAACAATCCCACGTAATTTTACTAACAGAATTATTTTTACTTAATAGTTTTCATTATTTCTAGGCATCAGCCAGATTCCCGTCTTCCAATCCGTATCAAAGAAAAGTTCCAAATGATTTAACGAAGAAGTTTCGCATTTTGAACGGAACAGAATGCTCCATCAATTCTCACCCGTGGCTTGTTATATTAAAATACTCTACCACGGAGACTTTAATTTTGTCCCATGGAACGCTGGTAGAGATCGATGGAAAACATTTCGTCGTTTGTACAAGCCACTCAGTGCTTGCAGTGTAAGCAAGAAGTATCACGGATGAACTAAACCTACCTTTCAAATATTTAATACACGTTTTTCGGTACAACGATAAAAGGTACAGAGGAGGCAAACAAATTTATTCTCTACCAGACTTTCAAACCAAACCATTGTCCGTCATCGTAGAACTTTTACGTGCCTCATCTCTGGGCTTTTCGCCATCTTAATGGAAGACTTTTTATTTAAAATATTGGTACTGAATCGGCATAAATTTCACATGACACGCAAAATACATAAATACTTAAAACAGTTTACACATCAACTCGAGTTCTACTTTTATTAATCAATTAAAAAACAGGGAAATTAATCCTACGGCCATCATATTTCTGATGATATAGCTTTGCATTTATATTTTATTGCATAATTCACCGGTTTCGAGTCATACTGAGCTACAGTATCACTAACAAATTTGCAGGATCAAATCGTGAAGTTAGAGTTAGTCAATAAAAGTAGTCGTACTTTCGGTCTTCGCATGGACTGTTTTGGACGGCGGATTTTATAGCTAACGTTCAGATATTGCTGATGTTTACGCCACTGTCCCTATGAATACATTTATTAACCTGGGCCAACAGATCTTCCACGATCCTTCTAAATTTATGGTAATTTTCAGCACAGATTGGCGCCTTGCGAGATAAATGCAAAATCCAACAAGGGCAAAATAGAAGGAGGCAAAGGATCCAATATTTATCAAAGCAAAATACCAAAAATGACTTGCTCGTTGTCCAACACTGTGTCATGAACAATCGTGAAACAGGCTGGTAATGCACCAGCGCAATCTCTGCTAAAATGAACCATAAATTTAGAAAGATCATGGAGGCCCTGTTCATCTAAGTCCACATGTGCATGAATGGAAACAATGGCATAGAACTGAGCAATATCTTGATGTCGGATGGTAAAATGCGCTGCCAACATCAATCTATGCGTAGTCCGAGATTATGACTGCCATTATAGTCCAAACTTTAACGTAAGGGTGTGGCCATGCAGATCTCTTCATTGTAGAGTATCTTGACAACAACCTGAGTATGACGTAAAACATCGAATATCTGTGTTATCGAATAGAGCCATTCGGTAAAAGATATGAAGTCCGTGAAATTTATGCATCATGATAATTTACGTTATTATTTTTAGTTACTACATACAATTATAAGAGCTTTGCTTCCTGAAGCTCATTGCAGTTCTGTTCTTTGTCTTCAATAAGTTCTTGCTTCAGGATTCTTACTTCAGTTGTTCTGGAAATATGCTTCCTTGTGTCTAGTTTTATTTAAATGACAGTTTATTAATCATGTGTGGATATCAGTTGGAACAATTCCATAGTTTCGTGCATGTAAAAATAAGTACAGCACATAATACATTTACCAGATATGCAGCGATTATGCTTAGACCATTTAGCTCATTGTACTTGTCTGATCATAAACCATTTCAGCTGCTGTGTATGATAAATGCTCAATCTTTCTGTCGGCCACTCTCACGCTCCAACAGGTTTAGCTTCTGTATTTCCTAGACTTTCATCTTTGGAGACAACTTAGGTATTTTCTGTCGGTCGTTATATAGTTAGTATCACAGTCATGATGAGACATACGACATTTTGATTTTTCCATTTTACTCAGTAGCTTTCACTATTAGTACCTGCATCGTGACAGTGAATATACTCTGCTCATAAGTATGCTCGTCATTCGCGTGCATTAGTCAATGTCCCACATTGGTAATCTTATCATTTTGCTTATTACGAAAGAGAAGATATTCACTGACATTTGCATTTTACTGCATCACCTGTACATATTCATTTGTATGCTGTATCTACTTTTAATCATTATTTCCGTGTAGCCTATGCGAAGAGAATGTGATGGGCTTACGAAAATTGGAACTATTACTTGGCGCTCAGGACTGGAAAGATGCGTCCGAAAACGTTCAGATTGTGCACGTAAGGGCAGTTATCATTAAGCAGGGCGGTTTCTCTGGCATGGCCGCAAATGACCTGTCTCTCATTGAAATCCGAGAGCGGGTAGTTCTCACTAAGTCGGTTAAACCAGCGCAGATACCTGGACCGGAAGACTTGCAAGTGCTTTCTCCGGGTGTTCGCTTCAAAGTATTTGGAGTAGAAAATCAGACAAGTAAGAACTCTGAAACAGAAAACTGTCTGGTTCATTTAATGCCTGTTTCAGGTAGCCGTCCTGTAAGAAGCGTAGAAGTAGTAGTAAAGGAATTTTGTACATTGCAAAAGTTCGAACTAGAGATCGGCAGGGATAAAATTTGTGCTGTAGAGCTGTCAAGGTTACAGCAAGTAACCCAGGTAAGATCAGCTGGACAGAGTGTTCATGATTTTCGTTAGGAAATCTTCAGTTGTTTCTCAAGTCGATATTAATGTAAATGTTTGGAAAACTGTTCAAACAGAGTGAACTGCATTGCTTTTATCCCCCCC